AATGAAATTCAGGCAATTTGTTAGACCTCCTGAGGTTTTATAGGGAAGTCCAAGGAGAGACTACTTAGTGCGTGAAGTTGATGGTGTTTGGTGTCTGTGCTCACACTGCCCTCTCTGTGCTGTTAGATAAACACGTACAGCCCCTGCGTGGACAAGCCTGGGCTAGGAACCTCTGGAAAAAAATCGAAATCTGATTTGGAAAGTCGGAAATGAGGGGTAAAGAGTGGTTGGGGAGAGCTAAATGTGCAGCCATGCACAGGTCACTGCCTGTAAACCTCACTGTTTGATCTTTAGCACACATTCAGCAGGAAAAATAGCCCCTGTCAGCAGATCTTGGTTTAAAACAAATATTTTTCACTGGATATTTTTATGCAGATAGTGAAAATATCCTAGCTAAGAATAAAATGATCACAAAGATCTACATGAAAGCTCATTTTCAGGTGTCCTTGGATTACCCTGTTGAAGATAAATCATTGTGCGCACTTTGGTAAATATTTTTGAAATGCAGTAGCCGTGCGGTCTCTAAGACCCCTTAGCACTACCAGTTGATCTTGGTGTCATTCATCAAGATAATAAAAATAAATACATTTAGATGTTCAGATTAGCAGTCCTGAATATATATCACCGCTTTTGTAACAAAACCTTGTACTTTACAGGAATATACATAAATATGGTTCAAGTTAATCAGCCAAAACATGCTGGGTGTTCAAAGTTTGCATCTTTATTTTTAAGCTGTGAAGCTAATATAAGTCTCTGTCAGCCAATTTTTTTTCCCAATGACATAGACTTCTATCAAAGCCCTTATAGGAAAGTCTGTCCTCTTAGCTGCCATGTTGACACCATGGCTTATTTCCAGCTGTACAAGACCAGGCTCCTATTTCTTTGAGTCCAAAAAACTTAAAACTGAAGACCAAACTACTGTTTCAAAAACATATTTGAAATCACTGGTAAAATCTGACAAAAACCTTAATAAATAGTTTGTAGTGTTTGGCTCAATAATGCACAAAAACATGTTGTGTAGTTGATTTGGCTACTACACTCACAGAGATCTCGACAATGAGGAGGGGCTTTTCCTGCTAGCTAAACCAGCAAGCTGATTGGCTCTTTTTGTTGAAGGGCAGGACTTTTTCCACAACCAGACATTACGTTCATCCTTACAAGCTTTGCCTGTCCTGTCTCCTCCTTAATAATGTTTTAGCTACATTTGCCTTGTAGCTCCAGTATAAAACTAAAAAGGCAAACTTTGAACACCTTACGTCTTGGCTGATTTACTACATTTTGCTTATTGGGAATATTGTGTAAATATTTTTTTCTGTTAATTGTTCCTTTAATATGAATGTTAATTATTAATGTACAAAGATTTTATTCCAAGTAATTTTGGACCATTTCTTTTGGTCTATTCATCAGCTGACACTAAAATAAACAACATGACATGTAGAATAATATGACATGTAAAAATAAATAAATCAATAAAAAATGCAATTATGTCTCTAAGGTGACAATTTAGGTTGATAGTTATACAGATTTTTTGTGACCCTGAATCTAAGTGACAACATTAAATAGTTTAAATTGCATAGATTACATTATTTTTTTTATGATCTATGGTTATTTACTATAATCCCCCCATTGGGACCCACAGGACCCATTCAGGTGGACCCAGCTGCTTTTGACTGACCTGAGCTGGACGTTGCTCCACTCCCAGCCAACTGATGTGCCTCTCTCCGTGTGTGGGTACATGCCTAGTCGCCACAAGGATATTGACGAGTCCATGTCGATAAGCATGGTGAACAGTTTACTGTTCATGCTGGACTCGACCCGAAGGCCGTGGCAGCCATCAGTCCTCCTGGCTGGCTTCCATCTCCCCGCTGGCTCAGGTTCACAGCAGTCGTCTGGCTGACCCCAATGCTGGCTGCTGCCCGAAGCGTCACTGGACCACTGTGGTCACTGATGCTAGGTCATTGTGTTCCTCTACTAGCAGGTCTGTGAGCACCTGGAGCACTTTTCCTTCCACACTAGGCAGGGCTTCCAAGCGCCTTCACCATTGTAACATAGTAGGCAGATGTATGACATCTCTCTCTTTTGCCGGGCTTCACCACTAGGCCATCGCCACGCCATCTCTTCCACTGTCCTCTTTGCTGCAGCCACAACATCTCTTCCACAGACTTGAATTTCAATGTCTTCTGCCATCTTCTCTTCTTATTTGCCTTCCACCTGTACATTTGTTGGAGTGCCATTCCACTTTTTGCACTTGGTGGTGGTATCCCACTTCTGACACCACTGTGACATCAGCATAGAAAGAGAATCAGGAGAGGACATTATTTCTGCTCAAGAGGTGCTGTTTTACTGAAACAAGCAGAACGGCCACACACAAATGGCCAGGCAAAACAGGCTGATCACTTTTTTACCCATACAATTTCTCCTGGTTTTAGGCACTTAAACCCCCACTATCACAGCCCAACCTAAAATGACACAAACAACTCATGCACACATCCTAGACCAACAAACAAAAACAACAATAGTAACAATAACAGCCACAAATGTCCTTTTCAGTGAAGAGGTGGAGTCATGCAGCGGAGCTTTGCATACCATGCCAGTAAAGCCCCTTCTTGAAACTCGGAGCATGTGGCTGACACCACAGTATGAATCCTTTTTTTCTGATCATTTCTAGTGTTCTAGTTCTAGGGTTTTTTAAATAAACATTTAGTGAATTGCTGAAGTGCACTTTTCTAAAATTCTTTAATTTGTAATAAACTGATGCTCAAAGCTTTATTGATCAGTAAACTTACTTTAAAATCAGAATTTGTAACAAAAAATGTGGAAAAAGTTAGGGCTGAATACTTTTTCGAAACAATGTAAACCAGTCTGCTGTCATTTCTTCCTGTGGTTAACCACACTGTTTACAACTGCATTGTGGGTTTTTTCTTCCTTTTTTTTTTAATAACTTGCGAATTGGACTTGACAATCTCTGACAGAGATGGTTCCTGTGCATTTCAAGAAATCAGCGTGTCCTCCATTACACCAATGTTTACCAAGTAACAGTGTTAGGAAAGCAGGGAGCAGTGTTTCAAACCTTAGCTCAGACATTTAAGAAGCCTTGCTTGGCTCATTCCTCTCCTTCTGTAATATACTCACTACTCGCTGTCTTATCAGTCTCTCTTATGGGCTGGTATTTTACGCGGTAAAAATGATTTAACGTTCTGAACTCTTTGTACGGTTTCCATCGGTTCTTCCTTTCAGCAGGCTTCTTTTTATCTCTCACATTTCTTCAAGTCTTAAAGGTCAATCAGCCTTTTTATCTTTCTGTGGACTCCTTTTTTTATGGGTAACATTCATGGCATGGTAAATGCTATTTGCCCTACTTCTGACAGGAACTGTATGAAAATACAGTTTTGCAATCTTTTTAAGATTAATTTGGGATTCTTTTTTTCAAAATACCAGCAAAATTGCATCAAAAGAGTGCAGCACAGATATTTAGACCTTTTATGTCATTATGTAATAATACATATTAATAAAGACTAACAGACCTATTATCTGTACAGAAGCAGTTGAAAGGGAAGAATGTGACATTGTAAGAATGCACAAGTACTCAAAGCCTGGAAAATTCTTTACTTCACTAGTCAAGATGGCAGAATAAGTTCTCTTTATCATGCTTTAAGCATTTCTTCATTGTTTACTCCTCATGTCTCTTTGTTCATTCCTTGTGGTTTTCATTCTTCCATCTTTATGTTTAAAGCAGTTGATTTTTTTTTCCATTATTTATTAAACTAAGGAAATAAGCCATTTGCTTTTCATCTGTTTTCATTAAACTTTCTTCTTTTATACATTCTTTCTTTTTCTTGATGCCTTCTTTGTTTTCCTTTCTTTTTCTTCATTCTTACATATATTTTTTGTTTCTAATTTTTCCTTCCTTTTTTCTTTTCTTACTTGCTTGCCTCTTTCCTTTCTCTTCCTTTCTTCATTTTTGTCCTTCATTCCTTCATTCTTTCCTTTCTGCCTTCCTTCCTTTCTTTCATGTTTCCTTCTTATCTTTCTTTCCCATTTGTTTGCACTTTAATTCTGTGACTCATTTCTTACAAATTTTATTTTATATTGCCTTGTAAGCACTGTATTTCCTTTAGGAAATGCAAATCTGGTTATCACTTAATATTGAACACAATCACAGCTGTTTCTTTTTTTCTGTTGGGTCTCCGTGCAGTTGCGTGCAGCTAGCCATATCCATCTGTATCTAGGGGGATATCAGAATAATACAGTCAGTGGTATTTTCAGTGGAAATACACTCAGTGGAAAAGAACATGCAGTATACTCCTGTAACCGTATGTTCTGTGACGTCTCATAATGGAGCGTACGTCTTTAAGCTGTTATGAGTTATTTTTCTCTCTCCCTTGTGCCTCTCCTCTCTCCCTCATTATTAAATTGCCTTCAATCATAATCCATTTCACTGATAAATAGTGTAGCTCTGTCCCTCCAAGCTCTCACTTTCTTTCCTCTCATTTCTCTCTCTCTCTCTCTCTCTCTCTCTCTCTCTCTCTCTCTCTCTCTCTGTCTTTCTCTCTGTCTGCCTCTTTTCTCTCCATTCTCACTCATTCTCTTTTTCTGCACTCATCTGCAGTCCCGCAGCATTTCTTTCTCGAGTTAACTCTGCTTCGTTCAGTGCTCCTTGGATTAAGTTAATATCAAAGCCTGCCAAGCATTGTTCAGGATCTCAAGTTACCGGAATTATTCAATAGGGTGTAATTTTACCTCTCCAAAGAAATAATGAAGAACAAGATCAAGATGTTGAAAGAAAACTTCTCACATGGAAAACCTGCCAATTGAAAGTGCTTTCGGATCATTCCTTGTTCATAATTTTAGCTGTAATCAGTGATCAGGAGCCCTGTGATCAGTAAACACACTAATAATGTTACATTTAAGGTGATGATGATGATGACGGTGATATACATTGGCTTGAAAGTTTGTAGTTCCCTCTATAAAAGATGCTTATCCTATTTTCACATTTTTAGATGCATCAGTGATGGAGGAGGATGTGTTTGGCCTGAACGGTCAGATTGAGCACAAACTGGCCTTCCTCTCAGAGCATGTGCCCCGAGACACACACCTGGTCCTGGTTGGTCACTCTATTGGCTGCTACATCACCCTGCAGATTATGAAGAGAAACCCAGAGTTAAAGGTAAAAGAACGTGGGTGGAAAAAAAACATAATCTACTACAGAATCCCAGCCAAGGAATGGTTTGGCAAAAATTCAGATTTACACAATTTCCCCCTTACCCCAAATATAGTCAGTCCGCCATGACATGTTAGGCATCTGAACTGTGCTTCTTTAGTTTTGCGCTGGAGCTACAAGAATAATATAATGGAAGTAGTAAAGCTTATATCAAACCAATTAAGTTTGTGTAAACCGCATGCCTAAATCATCTCACACTTGCCTCAGACTATGTCAAGTTGTCCATGGACAAAATTCATAGCCATTCAGCCTCATAGCACCATAACAAAACTAAAGATGTAAATTCAGACACCAAACATGTCTAAGCTGATGAACTATGTTCATCATAATGGGGCAATGGTGTAAGGGTGGCCAAACAGCTGCTGTAAAATGCATATTTGTTGGTTGTAGTCATACCACAATTTTATTTTAGCCTTTATTTATTCATATGATCCAATCAAGAGCAACTTCTTTTTTTACGATCTGACTTTTGTAAATGAGATAGATAAGATAAATAAGGCTAGGACAGCTACTGAAGACAGTTTACACTTACCATGATTACATGGATTCCGTTTCTTTCCTTGGTATTTCAAAAATTAAGAAGATGGAGCCAGAACAAGTTAAAGATTGAGTAATGAATTTCTTTTGGTGTGACTCACAGAGGCTATTGTCTGCTGATTCTGGCTGCTTCTCTATATTAAAACGTGTAAATAATGACTATCACTGCTTGAGTTTCTCAGCACTCTCTCCAGAATCTCCATAGACCACCTCAGTGATATGCGAGTCTGGCGTGGTTCGAACACTCAGCAAAACACAGGAATATCTATAGTTTAGAAGTGCCCTGAGACGCCGAACAGGATAATAAGACAGTTCTGTTCCCCTGTGCCTGCTGTGCAAAAGGTCAGGAGATTAAATAACGTGGAAAAGAACCTTGATTTTCTTTCTCCCTCTGGGGTTTTCCTGCTACTAAGATGTGCTCTTCATCATTTTTATTTTCAAGTTTTTGCTCTCTGGTGATTTTTTTTTTTCTTCTCTTTCTCTCTCCCTCCTTTGCCTTTTTCAGTAACTCCTTGTCTGTAACAGTCCCTCATTTTCCCCTTATAGAAATATTTCCTTCCACTATAGGGCCCTCTACAGATATGCACAAACTTCTTCAGAATTAATACCACTATGTCGTAATTATCCACATTGAATTGTTGGACTGAGACTGTAATCATTCTCGACTAAAACATTTTCTCAAACTTCTTTATTCTTTTAGCACCGGATATAATTTACATTGATCACTACAATCATGTAGTCTGTATGCCCTAGCACTGGATCAGATTGGCAGCATGACTTTCAGATTCTGACCTGTTTAACTTTCCTGATTTGCAATTAAAGCCAATCGTGGTAACTCCATAATGTTCAAGTGTGGACTGTGGTTTTGGTATGTTCTAGGGCAGGTTATGGCTAGACCATTATGTAGTCAAGACATGCCATGTCTCAGGCAGCAACACTAAAAAGGAAAAAAGATTTCCTTTATGGCCGCAGATTGCAGGCTGCCAAGAAGCCAACATGGTGATTATGTATGATGTGTGATAATCAGAAACTCCTGTTCCTTTGGGCTCCAGCTATTTGGGTTGGAGTAAAGGGCCTTGGCGTAGCAATGGCAGGCTTTACTCTCCTCTTCTTCACTTTTTTTGGGAGGAGAAAGCTGGCAGAATTCACTTTGTAACCAGAAGCACTGTGAGGTGGATCAGCAGCACCCTTCTAGTACCATGTCTGGCTCATGGTCAGTCACTTCAAATGACTCATCCATCCTAGCAGTGGACCCTTCTCTCTATAGCGGTCGGGGAAACACTTTCGCTCCCTAAAGTTCAACACAGAGGGAATGAGGAGGAGACTCTACCTGCACATATACTTGTATTTCAATTTGTATTTTAATATATCCCTAGACTTTTATTTTGTATATTCTTCACCCTTTTTTCTTTCTTATTTTTTCGATTGTATATTCTGTTTTTCAAGGCAACGTGCAGTTGTATATGTATTTCCTTGCAAGCAAGCAAGGATTTTTTTTAGGGTTACAGTGATTAGATGTCTGAGTCAGTGGTGCTGATTATGCATGATGTCAATGCATCTATATTTTATTATATTTGTATCATTGAGACAAAGCTCTATAATGTTTGTAGGATGCACACGGGCATTCTGATACATAGCAGTGTGCTACAGAAAGGGTAGGCATTGATATTGCTTCTGTTGTTTCAATCTACCCTTAAGAAGGAAATTATGTGTTGCACAGACAACTTTGAATGATGGCACTTAGTTTGCAGTATTGTATGGGAAAAGATTTCATGATTTTGATAACAGTCCTTTACATTGGCCAGGGTTAAATGATTTACAAAGTCCTCATTGAACATACTTAATTAGATATGTGCTCATATTTAACAATATGAAATACTGTAGTATTCAGCACACACAATATTGTTCAATATGTCGTGGACACACTGAAATACTGTCATTGCATTTTAGTCAAACAGGTTGATATACACAAATTAGCTCTGGTTTCACAAGTTTCCACTAAATCACCACATTGAGATCTCATGCTTCATTTGATAGTTGTACATTGTGCTTTAGTGGGATTTTGGTGTGAGCACCTTTAGAGCTCATAGTAAAAAATTGCAATGTTGTCTTTTCATACTCAGTCTTTTAGCTAGAGTACTGAGGGTCTACCACCTGTCCTGAAAAAAAAATCTTGGAGAAACCAAAGACATGAAAAACATGATTTCAGAAATGAATGACTGCTGTGCCGTTATACAGAGTGCCAACAGGGAAGTTTTTTTTTTCTCTAAAGACAGAAATCCCAAAACTATCAGCACATTATTGCTGTTATAAAATGACATTGAGACCACTACATGCATGTGCATGTATCATACTGTATTATACATATAGTTTTTTTTCTTAATATGATATTGTGATATTGTAAACCTTGACAAATGGGTAGGTAATTATTGTGATATTATTGTTTTTTATATTGGCACGTACCTGATTCAGTTAATTTGTGAGTAAGGTAGGTATGATTAGGATTGAAATTTTTTTTTGATCACACCCAAATATCCAAAGCTCATCATGTGTAATAATACTTTTCTGGAGGGTGTATGAGCAACATTCAAATACAGTGCATGTGCGCTTATCTGGCCCATGTTCTTTACATCGTATTATTGTCCATTATCTCTTGATCTCGATTATTTTTTCTGAACCTTTGGCCTGTAGAGTACCAGACCTGCTGGGCCATTTTCTGTTCATTGTGTACTGGTCTTTGCCTACAGACACTGGTTTGTAAAAGTCTTAGCCAATCAGGGTTACTCACCAGAATGAACATTGTCTAGTGTGCTGCATGTGTGTGTCTGAACTGTGCAATGCAAGTCCAGCCCCCTTCAACAGTGCAGTTGAAGACAGAGTTTGTTGGGGGTTCTGCCCATTCTGAGGTGAATGTTTAGACTACATGAACAATCTAGACTGTCTAATGAACAATCTAAAAGAGCACTGCAGACGTGCCTTAGTGATAGTAGGCCACGCTAAGTTCGATTGGCCCTTTTCTGGCCTCTTCTTCTGCCTGAGACGGTGCCAATAGAGGAAACAGCATGAGAAATGTGTTCCATGTTCCTGATTGTAGCGGCCATTCTGTCCTCGCTGTCAGTAAAGACAGATTATTCCATTCAAGAGCCACGAACTGAGGTGTGCATTCAGCTTGCTCTACTGTAGCCATTTATTTCCATTTATATTTCATGTATTGTTTCTCTTAGTCTTTTTATTCATTTCTTCCGATGCCATTCTTGACAGTTGGCCAAGAGCTACTTCTTACTTTTAGACCACCGATTATAGTCTGTGTTTTTTCTTGCTCATTTTTGCTCATTTCTTTTATTCCGCAGACATTACTGGGGATTCTTTCAATATGTTCCTCTGTGGTGGTTAACTATTTGTATGCTCAGCAGAAAACTTTGCTTGAATTATTCTGGTGCTTGAATTGTTAAAGGGTCTGTATAATACATACATACATACATACATCATCTAAACCGCTTATCCTTCTGGGTCGCGGTGGGGTGCTGGAGCCTATCCCAGCTGTCATTGGGCGGAAGGCAGGATACACCCTGGACAGGTCGCCAGTCCATCGCAGGGCAGGGTCCGTAGAATGAAGAATGTTTTATAGGACTGGCCGGAATAAGTTTTTTCCTTTTTGTATTCAGATTAAGCCACAAAACTTGTAGTCACTTGTAACAGTTATTGTCAATATATGGTTAAATGTTAAGTGATTATATGGTATGATATATGGTCAGAAAGTTAAATATAAGTAAATTAAATCAGCTTTAGTTGAATGCATCATAAATTCATGCTAGGCACCCACGTCAACTCATCGAAGCAGAACAAACTCCACCACTTTCCGCATGCCTGTTGAAGCTAAAAGAGCAAAGTTGCTTAAGAAATCGCTTATGGGAGCACATTAAATGATTGGACAATAAAAAAATTCAAAATTTGCAGTATGAGGTTGATTTATGGATGACTATGGATTATAATTATTATCATAATTATTCCTGGCTGAAGTGGGTGCTTGACACCGCCGAGTCAAAGGCATTGTGGATGGACATGCGGTTGCTTGCGCTTCACATATGAAGTGCCATGTCTGATGTGAATTTGGGGTTACACTACAGCTAATTTCAAAATTAACCGTCCATTTGCAATGTCACTGGTATACACTATTAATATGTTGTCTTCCTACTAGACGTATCTTGAACTGCAGTCATGAACATACTTCAAAAATAATAATAATATTATTTGTAAGCATGATTTGGAGAACAAATATTCAGAAGCATTTGGAAACACCAGCGAATATTCAAAGCCTGTGAAGTGCATTGACTGTAAATATTGTTGTAAAGTTTTAAAATATACCATTCATCATCAGTTCAAGCAGACCACATACAGAAACTAAGCTG